GAATGAGAAGTTACGACCACCCTGAAAAATTCTTTACGAAAGGTCTGTAATTGATGGCATTATTTTCTAAAATAGCACATATCAAACCACTAGTTACGATCACCCTGTAAAATTCGTTACGAAGCCCATGAAATTTTGTTACGAAAGGTCTGATTCTGCCGTTACGAAAGCTCTGTTACGGGCTTTCGTACTGTCAATTCGTTACGAAAGCCAGAAAACAAAAATCGTGACGAGTTGAAATGCTCCCATTTTGAAATTGGAAGACGAAGTAAATTTGTTGTTTTATTTTATATTTTAATTTATAGTATCATTTCTTTTATAGATTACCGATATACCGATCATAGTTCTTATTTTATTGTTAGTGCTTTGTGAGTTTTTTTTTTCGTTTTCAAAAAGTAACAGATCATAATTCAAAATTTCCTTAGTTTTGCTATATTTCTTGCAATACTCAAACCAATAATGCTTTTATTATTAAATAAAGTCGGACAAGATCGTCTTGGTGATGCATCGTCACCGACGTTCGAAGGTTGGGATTCTAATACAAGTCCTGGTAAGATATGTTTATGTATTCTTTAATTATCAATTTTTTTCTATTCAATTCCTAGTGACAGGATACATGCCAGTTGACGAACAACAAGCTGCTTAAATACAAGACTTATAAAATGTAATTTGTTTCTTTCTTGTGATTTTACATAATTTATATTTTGACGACTGGATCAAAATATTTTGCTATGACTATGTTTTACATTAAAAATAAAGACAACTAATCAATAAATGCGAACAAAAAACATTAAGACCCACACCTTTTCAGTGAACTTTTTCCGTCGCTTATGCGATGATTAATAATGGGTGCAATGAAATCTGAACCGTACAGGACGGTATTTTCTTAAACTAGAAGAGAATCGCTCGAGTGTTCACTTTCGATTGTGCAAGTACTTGAGGATTGAGAGTTGTTGCATGGTAACTAAAGGAGAGAAAAAGTAAAAATGTAAGGCAAAACATGAAAAAAAAACCGATTATTCATTGCATACATTTCGACACTGACAACATGTCAGTTGTCTTTGAAACACTGCCTGATGAAATTTTAATGATTATTATCAGATATTCGGGCAACGTTTATAATATATTTCGAAAATTTCATAACTTAAACCAACGTCTGAATAATATTCTTGTCGATCATCGTTTCCATCTATTTGCTGATTTCTTGCACATGGATGCATGTGATGCAACTACTCATTGTTATTACACTTCTGCAGTATTTCAGAACGTATCTCAACAACTATCTTCTATGGAAAACAACAGCAAATGCAAAGCAACTTCGTCAATGTTTTGAATTATTAATCATCTATCATGTGAGAGAGACATACACTCGATTAGAACATCAACTTCAATCACATATGGAAAATATTCAATCCAAACGCAAGCATCTCAGCAATGATGTAATTCTTGATGTAGACGATAAAATTAAGGAAGCATTCGACAAGTTACACAAAAAAACGGTCACTATCAGGTTCATGAAACGAATTGAATCATTTGTTTTGACCAAAGGTGCTCGTCTTGAATGTGATGAATATGAAATGTGCACCCATAATGTTGCAACAGCTTTGAATGAACTGTTACACTATAACTTCAATCGTGTTCGGTCTGCCACGCGACTATTCGCCGACGCGATGATTGAAATGTTCAAAGCATTGATTAGTTCGAATCCTCAAGTTTTACAAGATACATATTATGGTAGCGACGGTGGTAATACCGTTTTTTATTTTCTTTTATGTCCGGCCTATCGATCAAAATATGTTTGTCGTCATACGTCGTCTGCCTGTAGATGTATTGATATGGAGTTTTATCGAGTAATGATGAATTTATTTCTATTTTCTATACAGTGCCAAAAACATGTGCTCCATGAGGAAGATTGGGCTTAGAAGAGTATTCTATATCTATTGAACCTGATGTCTTCATCCGAACCAGTGAATGATAAAGAAATTTTTGTTCAGATAAGTCTACTAGAAATCTTGAAAATCGTACTTGATGAATATAGCTTACAATCATCGACACCATGGGACGAATATTATACTGATATGTTTAGACAAAGCGTAAGTCGTTTGATCAACAAAGATCGCATTGATCTCGTTCTATTGATTTATCATAAAAATGAATCTGTACGAGATTTTTTTAATAAGCCCAGTGATAGCCGGGAAAATGTGAATATGATGACAGGAAACAAAGCGGGAAGACAATTATTTGAAATGCTCTTGGATGAGAAACCATTGGGGCTCTGGTTTACTAATACAGATTTGATATTTATTTTGTTACAAAAGAAAGAACGAAAATTACTTGAAAAATTATTGCAATCATCATTGTCATTCGTGACTCAATTGGACGATCATGGAAATGATCCATTACTCTATGTCTGTCTCAGAGTTGATGGTTGTCGACATCGAATCGTCGAATTTTTACTCCAAATTGGATGCAATCCATTAACGCGAAATTTGAACGGTCAAAATTTCATCGACGAAATACAATTGGGAAGAAATAGAAAATTATTGAAAAAATTAATTAAACGAAAAGTCATCAAAATGGATCATGTATCTGGAACCATAGCAGTTACTTTGGGAGACCAATTCGTTCACGAATAAACTCTTTCCTTAGATTCGATTGCAACTTTAACTGTATTTGTATCATATGGTATGATGATTGTAGTGGCCACCGAAGAAAAAACTTTGATTTTCAATTTTAATATCCCAAATACAAAGTCTGAGCAAACAATGCTTACACTGAAAATTTCAGGTCGTTTGGTTTTTGTCTATGCAAAGAACTGGTCGAAACACTATTTTCGGACCTATTAATAACTCTAAAAATTAGTGTGTTCAATCTTTTCAAATTATCCCTACACTACTATGATTGTTTGAGCTCGAAGACGTCTTGAAAGATAAAGGCTTCTCTAGGCTACAAAAACATTTAATTTGATCCAACGCATCATTCTCTATAGAAACAACAGAGATCAAATACCGCTGAAAATATGAAAAAACGTAGTATTTTGTCGTATTCTCACGCATAAATATTCAAAAGAACAAATGATCAAAAGCAAAAAATAGAACTAATAGATTAAATAAAGTCCGATATAAAGAAGTGAGACATGTGTCAAGAGTTCAAGTCATCGTGGTCTTACAAGTGAACTTCTTCAGCTGTGCTCTTGCAGTTTCAAAGATTTATTTTTTCTATGAGTACTACTTAATGTTCTAATGAAAATCTCAAAGGGTTTTACTTCCAATCGAGATTTAATTAAGCTATCGAATTTTTTTTTATAGACCTCAAGTTTTCAGAAAACTTGCATTCTCGAATTTTCATCTGAAACTTTATTCATACAGAGAACTCAACTTGACTGGTTTTTATAGAAAAATTCACAAGTGTTGAATCAAGTCTTTTCGATATATGAGACTTTCAAGAATATAATCACTCCAAAAAGTATTTAAACCGCTAGAAATTTTTTCCTTTTTTTTCCTAGTAGATAGCTCTTACTATATACTAGGTTTCATATCAGTATTATAAAATTTGACTATCCTTCCGACTTCTAGAAATTTTTCAGTACAACATCCAGAGCGAGGCGTTTCTGTTTTTTCAAGTCTTTTAAGCATGACTCCCGAGAAAAAGCGATAATTTTCATGAGATGAACTATTCACCTTCAAATTTTTACCAATAGAAAACTGGTCGAAGTCTACACGTAATCGTGTAGTTTAATAAGATTTTATTGCTCTCGTTTCAGGGTTGTGTATATGAAATAATATTGATGTCAGAAAAGTGAATACCCGTGCTTAAAAAAACAGAAAAATAAAATATTTTCATGAGAACAATACCCATAACTCGTAATTATGTTCAAATTCAATAATATTGGTAGGGAACCTAGTATTGAGTTGTGTTTTTCATGGGTATGACTTTTCACAGTACGATTTTAACTCTTATTTCATAAGAAGAAGTAGTATTTAGTTTCGTCTATAAACAGCAACAATAGAAAGAAATCATATAAAATTTCATAAGAAAGTAAGTGAATCCCAAAGTGTCTTCCTATTTCTGAAATCTGATTAGATTTTGCTAAGTATACATATGCTTGTTGATGCTTAGTTATTTGATACATTTCGTTTTCTTCTTCATGTATTCTGTTACTTCATCACATAATTCATCATCGTCTGTAGATGAATTTTCATTTAAAACTAATTCTTTTAGTACGAACTGGCTTTCAGTTCTATACTTTTATATAGATTAGCAGTTTAAAAAAGTAAAAATATTTTGAAACTTCGATAGAAAAACAAGTAAGTATTGCAAAAAAACTCAATTAAATTAGATCTTGTTCAGTTTTCTTCAAGGTAATAAAATAACTGAAAAAATATTTTTGTTTTCGTAATAATAACCTTCAATTTCAAAAGAAAAAGGTAGATTTGAAGTTTTAAAAGTTTCTATGTCGTAGACTTATATGGATAGATTAGTCTGAAAATGTTTGAAAAAAAAACAACTAAAATTGGAAAATTCCTAGTAGGAAAAAGCCTTTTTCTTCTCTATCCATTTCGAACCAAATGTCATATATTCAGTATTAATAATATTGAAGAATGAAAGAAACGAAATGATACGAGTAAAAATTATTAGCAGTGATTCTTTATGTTTTTCTTTTCACTAGCTACCATTTTTGTTTTGCTTACTAAAGAAAAAAAGAAAACAGCACATTTCTTATTTTTCATCCCATAAATCATGTGCGAGAGTAAAGTAAAAAAAAAAAGTTTAAAAATACATGTGAGAATTTGAATTTTATTGTAGTAATTAGTTGCCATAAATGAATTACTTGAGTAAAGATACATGTTCATCAAATAAAAAAGTTTCCGAAGTATAAGAATAAAATAAAGGCATAAAAAAAAATCATATCGTATCTCTTTCTTGGTTACTGTAAAAAAATTTTGTTAGTCAATAAGCAACAGAAAAACAATGGATGGAATGGCTTATATTTTACTATTTTATTCATTTGCTATATCTTCACATGATATACCATCTTCGGAATTTGTTGTTGAAGTTAGTTGTTGTTGTGCAGTTACTTGTACGGCTGATCGATTTACAGGAATTAGACTACACCGTAATATTTCTTGATCTTCTTGAACCACTTTTGCCATAAGTGCTTTCCGAGCTTGTTCATATTTTTCAATTTCCATACAACGCATAGCTTCTTGTATGTGTTCTGGCAAACCAGGATTAAAGCTCAATGTATATGGTAAAATTTGTCTAGGTGTTTTGCCAAAATCCAACATAATTTTAATAAACATTGTATCATCTCGAACATAACAGTTTTCTTTTGTTTTAATAACTACTAACTGACAGAATTTTTGTACACCACTGGCGATATTCTTTTCTGAAGTTGGTTTTTGAGAACTACTTGATGTTGCATCAGGATAAAATCTATCAATAATGTGAAGACCTTGACCAGTTTGATCAAACAGACAAAATACAACAGGAATAGTAAATGGCCACCAAACAATAGCATCATAATCTCCTTTATAAAGAACAAGATATATAGACATATGTGTACCTTCAACATCACCATCACCATTTAAAAATAAAGATGCACGCATTTTATAACCAGTTGGTGATGAATAGAATACTGGTGATACTATTGAAGGGTGTTTTCTAGATTGAGCTTCAGCTAAAGTTGAAAAAGACAAAAATTCACATATAACAGTATATAGATGAAACCCATTACTCACCGAATTTCCGAGCAAAATCTTCAACTCTCCAGAGAAGTTCACCATTATAACTTACATAATGCATGTCTTCAAGTGTTTGTTTGGTTTCCTGATCCTGTTTTTCAAATTTATCTCGATCAAGTTTTTTATCATTAACGGAAACATTTTTTTGTTCACAACTCATTTGTAAAGATGAAGATTGTTGACTTTCACATTGTGATGCATTGTTTTGGACAGTTAATTCATTACCAAGATGTTCCATGTTTTCGTGTGCATTTTGATTACTCGCTGTAATTGTATTAGTTGTTTTATTTAAACTGTTTGTTTGAAAAAAAGCATTAGTATTCTTAGATGAATAAGGGCAGCGACGTGATGACAGGCGTAGTGCAAGTTTCATTCTATTTGAATTTTTTGGAATTGCCTAAAATGATAAGAAGCGATTTGTTTTTTTTTTGGCTTTGTTAAATTGAACTATACATACTGATTCTTCAGAAATACAAGAAGGAAAAAGATGTTTATCACAAAAGTTGCACTTCCATCTTTGATGGCAGCCATTCAAATGGTCCTTTGAAAGAAAAAGAATAATCTATTAGAAATAAAGTAAATAATAATTTGATTTGATATCGTTTTTCTAGTTTACTCTACTATCAATTGATTTAGTAACATTAAATTCCATTTTTCCAAAATTATATGCAGTGACCAAAAAAATTTCGCTATTAGGTAAAAAGTACCTAAAGTTAAATCCTCTAGCCTGATGGTTTGATCGCAAATAGAGTACGGTAAGCTTCGATTGCAAAGACTAATCTCAATTTAGAAAACAAATTTGAGAACATTAGACTCCTGATTCGATAGCTCAATGGTGACTCTATCATTAATAAAAACTCCATGTCAAACAGATTTAGTTTATCTGATATATGAAGTAGTTTCCGGGTAACTTCTACACGACATCTGACGGGAATCGTCGAAAACTGACCGATATTTCCGGTTATGAAAGGTTCAAAAAGTGCTTTTGAGGCCCTAGAGAAAAAAACGCAGTTTTTTTATCGTAAATAATTCTTTGCATTAACACCTATCGATCGGTGGTTACAGCTTATGCTCAGGGTTGACCAAGCTCTATGTGTAATCAATATACTATGCTATAGGGTTGAAGTTCATGTACTTTTTATTCGATAGCGCTTCTTCTTGCAATTACTGTACTTACCTCATCATTTTTCCAATCGCAATTCCAACCACAGAGTAAACATAATACAGATAACGTTCGAACCGTCTGAAATTAAGAAAAATGAAATGTGTGAGAGAAAACGAATAGTTTTTTACTAGTATATTTGATAATACCTGCTGACAGTCTGCACATAAACCGGAATACCTTTGAAATGAATAAAATAATGAATATTATATTGAACTAAGTGTAAAATAAAATTTGCCTCGTTTCATGCTTAGGTCGTTCCAGTTCAGACGATTTGTCCATCGTGTTTTTATTTAATGTACATGCACTTTCACTAAGTACATTGGACTCTTTTGATTGTCCCTTTTGTTTCATTTTCGAAAAATTGTTAGCTGGAAATTTTACAATAAATCTAAAAACATATTGAAATCTTTCATTATTAAACAGGCATACATATCTATATAACACCGTCTATGATATTTTAAAATAAAAGAAGGCATATGTGAACATTTCTTGAAGTGGCAATCAACTTCTCATTAAGTCACTCGAAAATGTAAAATAATTAATTATATTTGTTATACAAAACGTTCAATATACAGAGTGTTCATAACACAGGAAATAGGGAACGAGATCTTTTTATTGCATGGTAAAATATAGAGCAACTTTTGTAGAAGGAAAAACATAGCTCTAGAAAAAATGGCAGTGCAGACATCTGAGCAAGACAAATTGAGACATAATATATAACATTTACTCTCATCATTTGTATATTTACATAATCATACCATGATCTCTTGTAATACAATCACTAAAACCATATGAATCAATTGTGTTGATTTCCAGATTTATACTATTCTCGAAAATATATTTAGATAAGCAAATATTAAAATACATTCAGGTGTATTTTATTGTTTTTCATATACCCAAAAACAACCTTAAAAGGAAAGTAAACGTCGCTGTGATGAAACATCTAACTAAATCGAGACGTATGAGAAAGCAATGGTTCTAATTATATCTGAATGTACGAAGTAAATGCTGCATCTCAATTGTATGTGAATTCACTCGTTTGTTGCGCTTCAGACGCAATTATCCTTAAGAAATATTTAAATGAATAATGTAAGGTATTGTTGACACAGTGTATTTATATAGTATTAATCATCATAGAGATGACTTAAATAGAGTTTTAAACATATTGTTTTACATACTCAAGTCTGTTGACTCGTTACCTGACAACAAAAATGGTGGCAACAGCCTGTTTATTTGCTTTGTCATATAGAATTTTAAAAGATTTCGCGTGAGTCTTTTTCTTATTCACCTGTCGTTAATCATCATTTACTCGTAAATCTTATGCATGATGTGTATTATTTCGTCAAATGATATGAAATAATGATTTAAAATAAATACATTACATAAAGAAAAATGATTCTATCAAAACTAACAAATTTGAAGTTTACGTTGTTCATCAACCAATTTGTCTCGATTCAGGATATAAACAACGTTTAATCTAATGTTTTTTTTTATCTTATCGCCATAGATAACCTTTCAACTATTTATTATTGTCTTGTCCTTTTTTTTTTCATTTTATTAAATTTCTTTAATTTAAATTGTCTCTTAACTTAATTTATGTATCAAATAACCAACAGGGTGTATAACTATCTATTCTCATACGACATACTTGTCTTAATGTGTGTAATTTATATAGAAAAAAAAAAACATCAATTATTTAGTAATGGTCATGTATAACGAAAAACTTCATTCTGAAATATATATCCATCTAATATTAATCAAAATGAACAGATCTAAACATAATACCTAAACAACATAAATTTCTTACTGTAATTGATAATATCAAATGCAGTCAAAATTAATATCGCACGTTTTCTTTTCTGACAATCAACTAGTTATAAAAATGAAAAAATGTTGCTTTGTTACATTGTAATCATAAAACAATGACGTTATTCTGAATTATTCATCTTGGATACATTTCATAACATAAACTGTTGTTACAACAATTTAATAAGTATCAGTCAGTGCTTCTTTTTATTTTATAGTAACCTTATGTCAACATCTCTTGATGACTTACTAAAGCAGAGATATTAGTACTTTATTATTTGAGTGTGTAATCAGAACTAAATAAATTATTAGTATGCTGTCGATCACTGTAAATACTCGAACACCATAGGTTACCAATAATTATTTCTCATAGAGGCACAAGAGAATAGCTAACGAAAACAAAAATCAAAATCAAATTTCTCCATGGTTTTTATCGTTTTGTTTTTTATTTGTTGTTTGACTAATAGAAGAAAAGTCACCATTGCATGTAGAAACAAAATAATGTCTTTTTTATGTTTTTTTTTTGTTTTTATTACAAATGTGAGTAAGACTGAAAGAAATCAGCAAATAGAATCATTCTTGCAAAAGTAAAACATCATGTCGACATTAAAATAAGACGAAAAAAAATATGTTGTTTCAATTGTAGGCATCTAATTGTCCATAAACAAAATAAACTCTAAATAACTATATTTTTGATATTTGTCGAATATCATTTGGATTGCTTTGAAATTTGAAACATATTATTCACTATATATGTATATCAATAGTTTCAATGTCAATTTTTTTTTATTATTGTAAAAAAAAAACATTAATTTAACGTAAAATTAAAACAAATCTTTAAAATAAATACAATACACACAAAACCATTGTTAGTCTAACATTATTAAAATATATATTGCCAATTACATATTTATAAGATTCATTTGTAAGAATTTAAAAATCTTCCAAAAATTAAACATTCTATTCGAAAGTGTATAAAAATTCAATCTGAATTTCGCAAGAAAAAAGAAAGTTTGTTAATAGAATATGTTGAATTTATTTTTCTTTCTATTATAAATCCTATGAATAGTTTTTGTTATTAATTCTCATTTAAAATTATTAAAAATTCTTGGACTATCCAGAATTAAAAAGAATTTCGGTTTAATAACTTTCTATGAAAACATGATCATTCGTAATATATGAAGATGAAAATAAATTGTATGAGTTTATAAATTTAGTTATTGCCAACATAATTTTCAATGACAATTATAGTTATGATATTTCTTGATAAATCAAAAAGAATGTCTCATCAGCTATAACCATTGAGAAATATAAAACTTATAAAAAAATCGACACAAAAAGCAAAAGACAATGAGAAAGAGAAGAACAATAACTCACAGACTATATGAAAGAGAAATTTAAAAAAATCAATAAATAAAGACTAGTGGCTACATTATATCAGTTGGCGAGACTTTCAGAAACTAATATATTATAATCATTTCATTACATAATTAGTACAAGAAATATGTTTCATCATAAGTTGTACCCAAAAAACAGTCAGCTTCATTGTTAAAATCAAGTAAAGTAATGAAAAAAGAACAACGTTGTTTCTTTTCATTTTGTTCAAAGGCAACAACTATGAAAGTTTTAGTGCTTGATAAACTTAGACAAGACTTGTAATCACTAAATGTATCTAGAGAGACTTCCTACAATACAATCTCTTTGTCAAAAATGAGCTTTTATTTTTTTTTGCTCCAATGAAAAAGTTCAAAACTAAATACTGACACAGTGCAAACTTCTATACAAAATAATGTGTTTTCAGAATATCGACCATGTGAACGCAACAGAAGTCTAAAGAGTCAGAGAAAAATCGAAGCTTACCATTGATATAGAGACTAGAGCCTGTGGAGTCATCTTAGATGCACTTAATGGCAATAAATTCTGCCAAAGCATATCAATCAGTGAAACTTTCTCAAGTATTGTCGTTGAACAAAATGAAAAGAAACAACGTTGTTCTTAAAGTCCTCCTCACCACCTCACTTGGCTAAAAACAATCATAACTGTTATGAACATCGTAGCATCTGGAACATGAAGATATAATATTCTTGTTCAACAGTTTTCAAAGGATAATGTTTTTAAAAACTACTTGGTTTTATATCAGGATAAAATCTAACAGGAATAGTAAATAGCCAAGAAAGTGTAGTATCATTATTCTTATTTAAAGACAAAGATACACGCATTTTATAATCATTTAATGATGAATAGAGTACTGACGATTCAATTGAAGTTTGTTTTCCAGATTGATCTTCATCTGATATTGAAAAAGAGAAAAAATCCTCAGCCCATTGTTCATATATGAAACTCGCTACTCACGAATTTTTCGAGGGACATTTGTAATTTTCCATACAAATGTCTTGTCATAATTTGTACAATGCGTATCTTCAAATAACTGTATGATTCGTTGAAATTTTTTTTCACATCCATGTTGACCAGATTTTAGTTTTTTAAGATGTTCCATGTTTTCATTTGCTTTTTTATTCATATTTTTTGTTTGAAAAAAAGCATTGGTATTTATAGATATATTAGGGCAATGACGTGTTGATAAGCTTAGTGAAAGTTTCATTGTATTTAAATTTTTTGGAATGATCTAAAACGATAACAATTGTTATTGGCTTTATTAAATTGAAATATAAATACCGATTCTTCATAGATACAACAACAACAAAAACACAATGTATCACAACAGTTGCATATCCATCTTGGATGAGAACCATCTAGATATTCCTTCAAAAGAAAAAGTATCAACAATTAAATTTAAAGCGAATAATAATTTAATTTGGAATTTTTTTTTTCTTTTGATTGACATCTAGTATAGATTTATTTAGTTTAAAAGTGAATTATTCGATTTATCAACATATGATTTAATTATTAATAAGATTATATGTTTACCTCATAATTTCTAAAGTAACCATTCAAGCCACATATTAAACACATTATGAGTGCCGATTGGGCTTTCTGAAATTAAAAAAAATGTATATCATGTGACAAACAACTGAGAAAATTTTTACTTGAATGCTTGCTGTGTCTAGTTGACAATCTGCACATCCAATTGGATTCCTTTGAATAAATAAAATAATAAATATTACATAGAATTAATTGTAAAATAAAACTTGCCTCATGTGACTCTGAATATGATCTAATTGAAGTAATTCGTCGTATTCATCGACTATGTTTCTATGAAATGTACAGTCATGTGAACCAAGAAAATCGAACTCTTCTGATTTTTTCTTTGTTCTCATCGTGACATAATTATCGACTAAACATTGTTTTAGTAAATCTAAAAGATTATGGAAAATTGTCATGGCTCAACTGACACACATATCTACACAACATTATCTATAAGATTACAAACCAAAAGAATAGGAAAACGGTTTCTAAAAACACGATTAATTTTTTATTAGGTCATCCCGAATGTCAATGAATCCATTGTTCCCGATGGGCTTCGATTCTTGAAGCATCTTGTTGAACTCTTCTGATTCATGAACTCTACCATCTATAAAAAAATGACCAAGATACTATATCGATAAATCAATGGAAGGTATCTAAGAACATAAAACCTATCAATATCCAGAGGTAGAGACCCTCATGTTTTGTATTTGAGAGTTCGAAGAATATCTTTTAGAATTTTCATATTCATTAGTCATTATCTTAAAAAAATAATCAGAATACCAGTTTATAAGGTGAATATTGTCGCAGATAAATAATGTAGGTTAGCTCCATCTGGAAGATTTCGGAAAAAGGCAGCAAAATGGACGTAGAAGTATGGTGTCCGAATTTTTGCACTTCCAACGCTAGATCAGCATATCACAGCAAAGTCGGTCATCAGATACGTTCACCATAAAACTGCTTCGAAGTTCCTACTACTTTCCAGCTTGAAACGACATCTTTCCAGAGGCCTTCGGCTGAATAATCACGGAGTCCAAAGTCGAAAATATTGAGTTAAAGTCTATTATTTAGTATCTGAAAAGCATGCATAATATACTACTACTCCTGTCGACTGATTTGACGCATAAGAATAGCAGTCATTTATAGATCTATTCAGCTTTATAATGTTTGAGTTGAAAATTTCAAGAACGAAAAAAAAATTCAATGTCAACAGCTTCACTCTGTCAATAGTCCTTTTCTGCTCTCTCACTGTTGTTTTTTATTTCACCTACACATTTTCAACAGCACAAAAACCATTATGTTTTTGTTTGTCATACATTCGGAAGTAAACATATAAAATCAAAGAAAGATAAAAAGAATACTTGGAAATTTCATTCGACTTCTTGCAACGAAAAGAGTAATAGTTTGAAAACGTTTTCGCTGAAAGAATATGTAGAAAGTTTGCATCAACTCACATCAAGCGTCGTTTAACTTGCAGATTTTTTGATAGAGAAATCAAATAGCATTTTGAGGAGTTCACGTCAAGCCCGCATCAACTTATTCTCACCCAACATTATCCAAGTTTCAGCGAAAAAAATAATTTTCACAACAAAAGAGTTATCAAAGCCATTCTTTAATATATTATAACTGATTTGACTTAAGATTAAGAGATTCGACGTCTTGTCAAATCCAAAACATTAGGTTATTTGGTTTCAGTTGTAAAAATACCGGCTGAAACTAATATAAAGAGTCTATATTTACGTCTAAAAATGGCTATCTAAAGGATCTCTCCAGTATGTTGATATTATCTCGCACATGACTTGACCAGGTGTATGTCGGAGACATCTCATTTAGTAGAGAACAGTTAAGACTACAAAAATTCAACCTTTTGACCAACTTGCAAATAGAGTAAAAAGATAAAAATCTCTGAAGCCAAATTAACATTGACCACACGGTGGCCCATCTTACATATTAGCCGTATATCTGATCTTGAGAAGTCATACAACATATTTGAAAATCGAAAAACTGACCAGATTCATTTTCAGCGTACCAAAGTCGATCCCCTGAAAATACTACGTTTTCAGTTGAACAAAGAAATTGAACTTACTGGATGTCCCACAATTTTTGCAACACGCCGTATTTTCCATATATCTCATCATGAATAAATGATAAAAAAAGCTTGATTTTTTTTTCAAAAGATGCACCGTGAAAAGTTCTACAAAAAATGTCAGAATAAATCCTTCCTAACATATTCTGACGATTTTTCCTATAGTTGAAATGAAACGCCAACATATTGGTGCTACTTCTCACCATATTTAAAATAATAAAAACGTTTGAAAGATTTGTTTTTACTTTACATATATCTCAGCTTCAGAAAATGATAATTTTTTGATTTCTATTTCAAAAGATGCGCCGTATAAAGCTCTATAAAACCTGTATGAGCAAATTCCTACTGCAAAATAGAAAAGGTCTTCCAAAGATTTTTATTATTTTAAATACAGTAGGAAGTAGCACTAATATGTAGGAGTTTCATTTTCACTATAGGAAAAATCATCAGAACATGTTAGTAGGGATTTGTTCTAGCATTTTTGTAAAGCTTTTCACGATGATTCGTTTGAAAAAAAATCAAACTTTTTATCATTTATTCATGATGAGATATATGGAAAATACGGCGTCTTTCAAAAATTTTGGAACACCAGATATATAAGAATTGAACATGTGCAACAGTCTATAGTAACAATCGGCTGAAAATGAAATGAATATTACGCTGTCATATGAATGTATTTAAAATGTGTCTGAGTTTTTATGAATGAAAGAAGATGTTTCATAGTTTATAAATTTTGAACAAAAATGAGTTGGTTGTGAATAGATGAGTGATTGTTTAATTTATTACAATTTTGATTTTCAAAAGTAAATTGAAGGAATCGGTTTATCCCTATTTATAGAAATACATACTCAATAGAGACTAGTGGTAGATCAATCTATGATTGCATCAATAGTTAATTATGTGAGATCCTCCCGAGTGAATGAAAAAAGAAAACGTGGAAAAAAACCTATGTACGTATTAAAAGCAAGATTTTTGCTGAAGCAATTTGATTTCTATCACAGTAAGTGATACTTGAAAGCTCATTTTTTTCATGAAATTTCTCAACTTTATGGAAGTTTTGTTGACTTGAAATGTGTCTTTTTCAGTCGACAAAAACTATATTCTTAATGAGGAAAAACAATGTTATTTTTGTCATTACGTTCTAGGAATTGATGCATTTCTAATTCGAGTACTACCAATGAAAGTGAACAAGACATAGAGCAAAGTTCTTCGATTATTTTCTTGATTACTGGTAGTGTCCGTTTTTTTTTTTCTTCTAATTCATTAATCAATGTAAACATTAACTTCTAGGACAAATTAATAATGTTGATATTATCAACCAAGGAAAAAAAAGAAAATAACGATATTTATAAGTAATCATCCACACAAAAGACAATGACATTTGTTTCATACATATATATATATAATAATAATAATAATAATTGTCTACAGAAAAAAAAAACAGTCTTATTATTTCTTGGATAGTTTTATCAAAATGACATCATTTCATGTATTCAAAAGTATTTTTAATTCATCATTTGAATTCTATGGTCTATCCGAATGGTTATTAGAATTAATGCCAGATAATGTTGATATCAATCGTTGTAAAATAAATCGATCACATAATGGTTGGATATTTCGAAGACATAATGCTCGTTCAACATTTATTTGTATGCATTGTATGCAATCACAAATTCAATTACATAAAGAAAAAACAAAAATGAATAGTTGGACTTCAGCTTATACAACAATACTTTTTCGTGCACGATTAGATAAATCTTTTAATGGTCAAAATATTGGTCGTATACAAATGAGAATATTTGAACAAGGTTGTCATACATGTAATATGTATAATGTAGGTATTATGGATGAAAGTGAAATAAAAAAAACATTTTATTGGTTATATATATGGATATTAAAAACATTTTATAATATTAAACTTATTAATGATGATTTTGAAGAAATCTATGATCCACCAAAAGGTCACAATCGACGACAATTATCACATGATTCACGTCGATGTGATGGATGTCGACTTGGTTGGTGTAAATATTTACATCGATGTAAA